GAGAGAAGAAAAATTAACAATCTTCAACCATCTAAAGGGCCTGACTCTGTCCTGAATATCAAATAGCACTCTGAGAAGCAGCTACATTTACATAGCACAATGGTGACATCTGTTGTCAGCTGGATACATTTCAGCTAGCTCTGCAATTTATCTGAAATTTAAGCACAGGGTCTCGGTGCTGCAGAATCCTCACCTCAATTGCCTTCAGGGCCAAGAAATATTTCCTTCCATCTTGTAATTTGCCTTTGGATTTTCTTAACAATTACTCTTTAATTTTGTACATTATTGGGTTTAAAATTAATATACAATAGACCAGAGATGTTTAGAGTGTACAATGTAATGAGTTTTGACTAGCAGAGAATAAAATAGAAAAGCAAACAAACAAAAAACCCTTGTCCACATAGAGCTTACATTCTTAATGGCCAAAATTATGTCACATGGCTGCTCCTGACAGCAGAGGCATCTGGAAGGCAAGTTTTTTACTTTCTTTCTTCCATAGTAGGAAGAAGATGGAAAGGAGGTTGCATGAGCCCGTCCACAATTCCTGCCACAGTGAGACTGAAAAGCACTCCAGTTATGTAAGTCCTTGCATACAACAGTTAAGGTTAAAGCATGTTTCAGAAGTATTGACATGCATGTTCTTTACATCAGCCCTATTTATTATTACTACTATTATTAACTTAGAAGCTTTCATATTTGATGGCATGTAAATACATCCCCTAGCACAAGACCTTGATTCATAGAGGATCTCCAGTCAATGATAGATCTTATCTTGGCACCAATAATGTACACCCTGTGGTTTTCTAGTGTTGATTAGACCTTTCATTAGTTTGCATACGACGTTCATTGTAAAGGTTCTCTGTATGCTACAAGCTCGTCTGGCTTTGCTAGGTCTCAAGTTGTTCACAGACTGTTTGTTTTCCAGACTCCCCTTGATGGAAAGAAACAGATATCTACAAGGTAGGATGAGTGGGTCCACTCATCTGGCTCAGAATATATCCATTTTTACTGAGTAAACATTATATCACAGTTTATAAAAATGTACTCCAAAATTCCTGGGACTTACCACCAGGGTACACTTCACAAGGGAAAACCCATCAGAGCACTGGTTCTCAAACTTGGCTGCACATTGGGATCACCTAGGAAGTTTAAAAAAAAAAAAAAAAAAAAAACATAGTGCCTAAGACCCACCCCCAAAACAGCAATTCTCAACTAGGTGATTTGCCCCACTACTAGAAATACATGGATATGTCTTTTGGTCAGTACAAATAGGTAAGTGTGCTACTGGCATCTAGTGGGTAGAGCCCAAGGATGCATTTAAACAACCCACAATGCACGGGACAGCTCCTATAGCAAAGAATTAGCTCATTCCAAATGTCTATAGTGCCAAGGTGGAGAAACTCTGTCCAAAGAGGCATATGCTATCAGCCTGGGCATGGGATTTTTAAAACCTCCCCAGGTGATTATACTATGCAGTGAAGTTTGAGAACCACTGCTAGAGACCTGTTCCTAGAGAATATTCAATTATGTGGCTAAGTTACTCTCAACCCCATGCCATTGAGCTCAAACTGAAAATTTCCATATCTTCTTATTTGATTTGGGAGTTGTTTGTTTGGGAGGTGAGGGTGGTTGGAAGGAGGAAGAGCTAGTTGCTTTTGTGAGAAAGTCTAGGTTTCCCACAGCATGCTAGAATGGGCATCTCTACAAATAGATGTCTTGCTGTTATTATTCACCTTGTAAGTTGGCCTCCCTGGCATAGCTCAGGAGGATCATTAACCATAGTCAAACACACACATCCTGGGGTATAGGTCACTCAAAATTACATGTGGGAGAAGCAACTCCTTCGCAAATGAATACTCCCTGATGTTTCACAGAATAACAACTTCTCCCACTAGGGGACCTCCCAGGAAGGACTACTGCGGTTGTGAAATTAGGGAGAACCAGTCACATAGAATGCAATGTGAATGATGCTCCCAGGCTTCATGGCCCTCAAAGTAAATTTTACATTCACCAGAATGCCTAGATTTTAAATCAGCCCGACACACACACACACACACACACACACACAGGTTCAAGTGATTCTCCTACCTCAGCCTCCCAAGTAGCTGGGACTACAGGCACACACCACCATACCCAGCTAATTTTTGTATTTTTAAAAGAGACAGGATTTCACCATATTGGCCAGGATGGTGTAACATGGTGAAATCTCTTGACCTCATGATCCTCCCAGCTTGGCCTCCCAAAGTTCTGGGATTACAGGCATGAGCCACCACGCCCGGCCATATACATACATACATACACACACATATATATATATTTAGAGACAGCATCTCACTCTATTGACCAGGCTGGAGAGTGCAGTGGCACCATCATCACTCACTGTAGCCTTGGCCTGCTTGTCTAAAGCACTCTCCCCTGCCTCCGCCTTGTGAGTGGCTAGGACTACAGGTGCATGCCACCATGCCTGGCTAATTTTTTAATTTTTTTTGTAGAGCCAGGGTTTCACCAGGTTGCCCATGCTAGTCTCAAACTCCTGGCCTTAAGTGATCCTCCCAAAGTGCTGGGATTACAGGCATGAGCCACCACACCTGGCCCAGTCCAGGCTATATGAAATATTTAAATACTTTGGCTACATGAAAATATACCACTAGCTCTCCATATGTACTTCAACGTTTATTGATATTATCTCAGATGATGCTAGGAAAATATGTCACTATATACTAAATATGTTACTATATACTCTCTCTCTATATATATATATATATAAAATATATGTTACAATATACATATATGGATAATATATATACTATATGTATACATATGTATATTTATAGATAATATCTAAAATTTGTAATGCAAATACAGTCATATTATACAAGCCAAGCTACAAAATGTTTTTTTCACTTAGCGCTCCATATTACTCACTTTGCATGTTCAGGCGTGCAGATACATGTTATTCCTCTAACAGCTGCAAAATATTACATTGCATGGACTTGATTTTAAGGAATAGCCACATATTAGATGTGAGTGGGATAAACACAGGCATTTCCTGAGTCCCATAACATGACACTTAAAGGACGAAAAGGATGCAGATTCACAAGGACAAGAGAGTGAGAAAGGAGACAAAAGCAGATGACAGATGTTCATAGTCTGTGAAGATGGAAAAGGATGGAGAAGCAGTAACCAGACAAAGCCTTGCCTGGGAATGGAACTGGGAGGAGTGTAGTCAGGACAATGGGTGATACCAGGAAGCAATCTGATTCACCAAAGGAAAGGCTGGGGGATCGGGCATTGGAGACTCCACAAGGCAGAGGCGAGCCATGTGATAAATGTATAAGGAGCAACTGGACTGGCCAATCCCATTCCCGTCTGCAAAGCCCAGAGACCTCTCCTCCCAAACTGTGTAACACAGGAGCTTTATTCTCTGGGGAGAAAACAAGCAGAGGGCCAGACAGAGGCAGCGGATTTAACACAAGGAGATGATTAACAGTGCATGCTGAACATACAGACATCACAAGGCCTTGCTACTGCCCCAGCCCCATTCTCCCACCTGGCTCTCAAATCACTACCAAGCAGGCTTATACCCTCTGCACAGGAACCTCAGAAGCAATGAATAACCCCAGATAAACCTACAAAACATCTGGGGGAAGGATCTATCTGCAAAAAAAATGCCACAGTCTCACCAATTCTTCTTTACCATAGAGGACCGGGTGCGATTCTAGGATATCAAACACAGCCATGCCTATAGGTAGCACAAACATAATAGAAATGACAAGGGAGAAGAGAATTTCTAGAAATAATGATCAAAAGTATACTTAGCACTAAAACTAGTGATCCAAGGGACACACTGGTAGGATGTCCTGGGGAACCATGGAGGATGTCAGACTGAGCTGGACAGGGATGAAGGTGGAGCAGAAGCAGCACCCAGGATGTCTACCTCTTAATTCCCATCAGGGAGACAAGGGGGTCTTGACAGAGTTATCATGGGACAGAGATCAACAGTGACCAACCTGATTCAGCAGACACCTTGGTGTACCTACTATGTGCCAGATTCTGTGTCAGGGAACACGTAGGGATATAGAAGTAGGATCTGTCCAACGATGTGGCAGTGCATCTGGGGAGATTGCCACTCATGACGTTCCCTGCTTTCCTAGAGTCCAGAGACTCTCCCCTTCCTACTTTCACAGCTCTTTAACCAGCCACAAATCCATCTGCCTACACGCTTCCTAGTTCCCTCACTTTCCTCCAGCCTGACAGAGAAGCGTCTTTCCCAGTGCACTCCCACTAAAGAATATCTGCGAGGATCACCACTGAAGGTCCCTTCTGCTTATCATGACAAACCAACAAACCAGCATGGGAAACACTCACTATGTGCAAGGGACTTACTTCGGCATTCAAATTTCATCATACAGGATAAAGAAAAGGAGGTTCATATATACCATGGAATACTACACAGCCATAAAAAAGAATGAGATCATGTCTTTTGCAGCAACATGGATCGAGCTACAGGCCCTTATCCTAAGCAGATTAACACAGGGACAGAAAACCAAATACTACAGGTTCTCACTTATAAGTGGGGGCTCAACATTGAGTACACAAGGACACAAAGAAGGGAACAACAAACACCGGAACCTACTTGAGGGTGGAGGGTGGGAGGAGTGTGAGGATAGAAAAACCACCTATTGGGTACTCTGCTTATCACCTGGGCGACGAAATTATCTGTACACCAACCCCCTGTGACACACAATTTACCTATCTAACAAACCTGCACATGTACCCATGAACCTAAAATAGAAATTTAAAAAGAAAAAACAAATTTTATTATAGAGGCTTGAAACCTTGGCATTTATAAAAATGTCTTCAAAACAAAGGAGGACTAATTAAGCAGATAGGAGAGAATGATGATTTTGTTCATAACACTCTACTAAAAGGGAAACTGGTTTTAAGGTTTTTTAGCTCTGCACTTGTAGAAGAGAGATGCGTTCCTCAGACAAACTCACCTGAAGCCTTGGGGTCACAGCATGATCCACTGGAGAACAGTGGGGTACTTTGGACAAGATCTTCACAGTGGCTTCGACTCACAGCCAACATCTTTTTGTTTTCATACCTATTAAAACAGTTTCATGAAAAAATTAGACAGTCATGGCCAACCAGCACATGAAAAGATGCTCAATGTCATCAGTCATTAGGGACATGCAAATCAAAACCAAAATGAGGCCGGGTACAGCAGCTCATGCCTGTAATCCCAGCACTTTGGGAGGCCGAGGCGGGTAGATAACCTGAGGTCAGGAGTTCGAGACCAGTCGGGCCAACATGATGAAACCCCATCTCTACTAAAAATACAAAAAAAATAAAAAATAATAGCCGGGCATGGTGGCAGATACCTGTAATCCCAGCTACTCAGGAAGTTAAGGCAGTAGAATCACTGGAACCAGGGAGCTGGAGGTTGCAGTGAGCAGAGATCACACCACTGCACTCCAGCCTGGGCAACACAGTAAGACTCTGTCTCAAAAAGAAAAAAAAAAAGCGATACTACTCGACACCCACTAGGTTAGCCATAACTAAAATGGAAAATTGCGTTGTGGAGAATGTGGAGAAATTAGAACCCTTGAGCATAGCTGGTGGAAATGTAAAATAGTGCAGTCACTGTGGGAAAGTTTGGTGGTTCCTCAAAAAGTTAAGCATAAAATCACCAGCAATTCCACTGCTAGGTGTATAGTAGTTCCCCCTTATCCTCAGGGGATAGATTCCAAGACCCACAGTGAATACCTGAAATCATGCATAGTACCAAATCCTATGTACACCATGTTTTTTTCCTACATATACATACCTAAGATAAGGTTTAGTTTATAAATTAGGCACAGTAAGAGATTAACAACTACAATGATAAAATAGAACCATCATAATAACCTGCCAGCATCACTACTCTTGCATTTTGGGGTCATTAAATAAGGGTTACTTGAACACAAGCTCTGCAATGTGATGACAGTCCATCTGATATCTGAAACAGCTACCAAGTGACTGACAGGTAGGTAGCGTCAACAGTGTGGATACGCTGAACAAAGGTGTGACTCACAACCCAGGCAGGACAAGGTGGGACAGGGAGAGGTTGCATCATATTATATGCAACTGAACATGCAACTGAACAGAATGACATGCAACTGAATACCTATGAATTGCTTACTTCTGGAATTTTCCGTTTAATATTTTCGGGCCTTGGATGACCAAGGATAACTGAAATAGAAGAAAGGGGGAATACTGTGTACTCAAAAGAACTGAAAAAAGGTATTGAAACAAATACCTTGGAGAGGAATGTGTTGCAGCAGCACCAGTCTCAATACCGAAAAAATGGAAATAGCCCAAATCCCCATCAATTGACAAATAAATACAATGTGGTGTATTGTCATACACTTGAATATTATTCAGCCATAAAGAGGAATGAAATATTGAAACATGCTACAATGCAATGAACCTTGAAAATGTTATGCTAAGCGAAAGAAGACAGACAGAAAGGGCCACATGCTGCACGATTTCACCTACAAAGCATTCAGAACAAACAAATCTATAAAGACAGAAAACAAGCCGTGGCAGGGGGTGTGGGGTGACAGAACAGACAGTGACTGCTTCATGGCTACAGAGTTTCCTTTTGAGGTGATAAAAATGTCTCCGAAATAAATAGAGGTCGTGGTTGCACAACGTTGTGAATGTACTAAATGTCACTGAATTGTAATCCTTGAAATGGTTAATGGTTAATTTTATGTTATGTGAATTTTACTCAATTAAAAAAATCCATAAAATAAACCCATACCCCCATGTTTTTAGCTAATATTTAACATTTTCAAATATAAATGTAAATTATTGCAAATGATGTAATTTAAAATACAACTGTTGAATCACTCATTTAAATACAGCCATATAGTCTTAATGCACTATTAACTTCAGACTTATCACTTATTTTTAAAAACACACGAACAACCCCTTCTTTTTTTTTTTTTTT